GTGTGTGTGTGTGTGTGTGTGTGTGTGTGTGTGTGTGTATGTGTGTGTGTGTGTATGAGAGAGAGAGAGGGACAGACAGACAGACAGACAGAGATAAACAGAAAGCCAGAGACAGAAAGATGGAGAGACTCAAAAAGAAAGAAATTTTCCTGCAGCTTAAAAGCAGATGCATTTTTTTTAGCAGTCAGGTTTTAAAAATATTATCATCTCCCTTTTTCTTTATCACTCTTATCTCAGGAGCTTATTAGCAATCTCTATACTTAGAGTTTGGGGAGCGAGAGAAAGGGGGTGGTTTCCTTTCACGGGCCGCCTAAAGGCTGCCGCTGCTGCTGACATCAAATTTCTGTCCAGCCCAGGCCAAACATCAGACAGAACTGGGGCTCCAGGTGCAAACATAAAATGGACCACTCCCACCCATTCTGCAGTCAGTAACAGAAATGAAACATATAAATGGGAACCATGGGGAACACCTGTCCCTCAGGTGCAGCGCTCCAGGCCCCCCCGCATGGCAGGGAAGAGCAGGAAGCAGGGAACGACTGGGTCTTCGTCCAGGAACATCAGGCTGTGTCTCACCGTTACTGCTGTGAGCCACAGACTCACATGAGGAGTCCTTCTGCCCTGGTGGTCCTCCCTGGTGGCCAAACTCCGGGGCAGTAACTGAGCCATCTTGGCATGACTTTTTTCATGCCTCCCAAAATCTTAAGATATACCTAATTAGCAGGTAGGGGCAAGAAGGTGGGGCTTTTGTTTGCAGGATATTTGGAGCGAGGCAAGGATGGTAAAGGCAGGAGTCAAGGCTTCCCAGGGTTCTTTCTTAAAATACAATGCATTTGGCTTCAGCGTTGATGCCTCACCCCAGGCCAGGCATTCCATCCTGGGGCTACTATATTCCCAAGAGTGCCAGGGAGACCGCTCATTTCCCACCTACAGGACCCACAGGAACTTCTGCTCTGGCTTATTAGAAAGCTCAAACCACCGTCAACCCATCATCTGTGCCACTCCAGGACACATCCCTCCTGGCTGACGCACACTCCTGGCTGACGCACACTCCCGCCCAGGGGTTCACTGTGGACTGCGCGAGTGTGTCTGTGAGCCTGTGAAGTGATTTTTAATGATAATTTGAAGGGCCTCTTACATCCTAGTTTATTTAACCTTCTCACACGAACAGCAAGACTTCTCCATGGGGAATCATGGAAGGACTACTGACTCACTAGATAAGCAATGAGCCCTGGAAACAGGAAGCAAAAAAATGGCTCTCAAAGCCAAAGTCATTCCCTTGTCTTGTCATCCACAGGTAATTGTAGCAAGCAGCCCGGCCTTGGAGTCAGCGGACGCAGGGGCCACTTGCAGTCCTGCCAGATACTGTGTGACCTGAGACAGGTTCCTTGGCTTCTCGGGGCCTCAGATTCCTCTTCTGTAAAATGGGAATGATAAAACCTATCCCGCCAGCCACACAGGATCTCAAGAAGTCTGCAGAGAACACCGGGGTAAGGAGGCAACTTAAAGTGCAGCCTTCTCACAGAGAGGCCGGTGCACCACGGGAGAGCTCGATCTACCCTGAGCTGAAAGCGCCCTCCTTCAGCATTCCACCAGCTGGCTCTTCCCCAGGTGGTGAGTGTACAGAGACAAGGCCAGCCCTCTCCTGGAAGAACAGCTTGCAGATTTCTGCAGGGAGGACCGCACCCCCTGAAATGGACAGAGCAGTCCCTAAGTCTCCTCCCCTCCAGGCCGTGCCTTTGGCTCCTGTCACTGTCACAGTTACTGTTCTCCAGAGGCACATTAGGTGATTTGTGACCCTCGAAGTGTCTTGTCTGCAACTAACTGTAGTGTTCAGGATGATCTAAAAGGGGGAGAATGAAGTGGGGCACGCGGCTCTCTTGTTCTGGATGATATACCTCTGATCCCATAGCTGACCCCTGAATTAGCTGTTTTGGGGGTCACAGCTCAAGAGCAGAACTTCCTTCATAATCTCGGCTTCAAACCCCTCATGTTCTGATGACCTCTTTTCTTTGTAGCTTGTTCCATCTGGTACCCAACTCAATAACTTAGTCCTCATCAGGACCTCCTGTCCACCGACCATACCACTGTCCCTTACCCTCCTCTCTGCAGTGTCCACATGTGGCCTTCTTACCCAGCCCACACCTCGTGGCACATCGTTATAACCATCCCCTCGAACACACCGTCAGTTTCTTTCTCCTTCCTTTTCTCTCTTGCCTGGCAAAATCCCAACCCTGATCAAATCTTTCTCTGTGTCTCTTTCTGCCCTGCAGTGGGAATGGGCTAGGGAAAATCGCAGAAAAGGGTTAACTGACCTAAATGTATAACCAGTAACCTCAAGGAGCCCATGGAGACGTCCAGAAACATCCACATCCTCTAGGTCCCTAGTTTGGACCCGCCAGGTCATACCTCCTGCACCTTAAGCCTCCACCACTTCTGTCCCCATCCTCACTCTCAGCGACGACCTTGTCATCCAACAGCCAGCCACCTGCCGGCATCTGTGCCCGGTGCCCCCCTTCCCTCTGTGCTGCCCTCTAAGACCCACCCCCCAGGTGTGCACGAGACTCTTGTCCTCCTGCCTTCTCAGCACATCTGCCCCCGCACCCCATACTCCATCACCAAGTTCACCTTTTCTGTAGGGTCGTTCCCATCCCACAGAACTTCAATATTACTTTCTCTCACCTTAAACAATGAAAACAAAAATCACAACAATAAAATGCTCTCTTCTTATCCCCAAGGAAGGAGACTTTAAAGTCCAGTAACTTGCCCAAGGCCACAGCCCTGCAAGTGGTGCGGTGGGTTTACCGCCCCCGCTGCAAAGCCCACCCCGATGAGACTTCCTGGGCTGCCGAGGCCAGAGCAGCTGTCTCTCTAGCCCACCGCTCCTGGTCAAGGGGCTGAACAGACGAGGAAGGATTCTGTCAAGGAAGTCCAGCCTGGCTCTGCCATACCAGGGCACTCTAGAGGTAGTGAGACAGGCTGAAGGTTTTCAAGTGAGAAAGGGACCTGCTGAGCTGCTGAGACCATCCTGACCAACTTGCCTGTCAGACTAAGTGTGTGCAGGTGGGGGCTGTTTCTAGAACTTTATCCCAGCAGCATGCCAGCCACAGCAGGGGAGCAGGTGGCAAGGATGGCAGATCGATGGGAAGGGCCGGGGGGCAGGAGCTGCCAGTACGGTGCACCCCCTGTGCAGAGATGACACCTCGTCAGTCTCGCAGCTCATCCCGTGTGGCCTGCTGTGATGGCTCATTAACACTGCCTGGTCCTCAGAGCTGGAAAATGACGACTGACGTGGCCAGCTGCCTTCCAAGGCCATTTCATCAGCAGGGCACACACTTCTTTCCCCAAATACTAACATCATCCCTATTCGTGCCAGGAACCCAGAACAGCTCAGCCAAGGGGGTTTTCCTCCTGGGACATCAGATACTTAACGACCTCCAGATCACAGACCTTCAGCAGTCACCCTCTCCCCTTCCTTCTCTGCTCCCAAAGAGTCTCCCAGAGAACGAGCCTATTTGGCTTGGAGACTTCCGAGTACATGGGGTCAAGTTGGAATTTTCGGACCACCCTGAAAAGCAGGCATCTCTGCCAACCCCAGTGCTGGCTTAGTCATTCCATCACTTAACAGCCCTCTTTCATGAGGGACAGACGGACCCACTTACTTGTCGGTCACGGCCTGCATGAACTCGTCCAGCAGGTCGTCGTACTCCTGCCCGCGCACGCGCCGGTGCTTCAGGCCGATGTACAGAGGGTCCCTGAGCAGCTCCTGCAACAGACAGCATCCGTCTCGTCCAGTGCCCTGGTTAGCGGGAAGGAGGGGGTAGGAGGGGGAGAGGGAGGAGGATGCCGGCTGTCCCCCACCTTGGCCCCCCAGGTGTCGCCTCTGGAAGGGTCTGGAGGCTAAGCCACTGATGCAGGGTGGACCCCCAGGGGCCCACACTTTAGGAACCAAGGATGCTTTGAACAAGCAAGACTCTCTGACAGTCTTCCAATCTCTTGCTGCAGCTCTGGGATCATTTCAGAGTTTCTCAACAGTGATACTATGGACAATTTGGCCCGAACAATTCTTTGACATGAGGGCTGACCTGTATGTTGTAGGATATTTAGCAGACATCTCTGGTCCCTTCCCACTACAAGTCAGTATCATCCCCAGCTGTGACAATACAAATGTCTGCAGACAATAAAAATGTCTTCCTGGGGGGCAAAATTGCCACCCTCCCCACTGAGAGTCACCACAAGCAACATTTGGTTTGGTGGGTCTCGTCCAAAGCCACTGATCTGGACTCAAATTAGAAAGCCCTCCCTCCATCCCTCCCTTCATTCCATGAATTCTTACTGAATACCTACCATGTGCCTGGCACCGCTAGGCCCTGGGGAGACAGGGATAGAACGACACGACCAGAAATTTCCACTCAAGAACGATATCCATTGTCATGTCGGCTTGTGTTAGGTGACCCTGCATTCCGTCCCTTGGCAGCTCTCACACACTATCTGGTCATCCTCTGTGTCTGCACTGGTCTGATGGCCACCCCTGCCTCTTCTGTACCCCTGCACAGAATCCATGGGCTTATTTGTGCACGACACATTACACATTTACCACTATGCCTGCTGCCGCTGGGCCCTGAAGGGGATTTGCAGGTGAGACATGGCTGCCGCCTTCAAGGTGCTCACAGTCTAATGCAGGTGGCTGATGAGTGAGCAAACTCTACTCCAAGGCAGGGTGACATTGCTTTGGCACAAAGTGTGGCACATGGCAGCACAGAGAAGGAGTGGAGCAGTTCCCACCAGAGGATGGGTGGGGATGGAGTCATGGGAAAAATGAGCAGCCATTAAAAGACAGCAGATTTTGCAGATGGGCTGGGCCCTCCGGGCTGAGAAGTCAGCACAAAGAAAGGTTGGGGTCTGGAGGCAGAAGGAGGGAAAAGCTCTAGGTCCATATTGTCTTGATGGCACTGTAGGAGGTGGTGGGGCGAAGGTATAGGGACAGAAAAGACCAGGAAATATCTGCCTTCCCAGCCCCTCACCTCCAATCCTGGTGCACATAATCAGAGGTGAGTTTAGGGCTTTTGCCAAGGAACCACAGGTCTACTTCTCTTCTCAATCTCTTCGCCTCTTGGGTTATGCATCCTTGAGATTGTTTAGGACTCCGCCCTGACAGCTGTGTGTGTGTGTGTGTGTGTGTGAACAAAGGTTGAGAGTGGGACATATATGGTGCCTGCCCTTCCATGGGCCACCTTCAAAGTGACCATCTAAAAGCCACTTAAAGGCAGCAAACATCCAGCCAAGGAGGAACAAGAAAGTAAATAATGTTATAATGACTGGATGGACAACCAGGCAGTCGTTGAAACTGGTGGTTTTTAAGACTATGCAGCCACCTGGACAAACATGTGTGAGATTATTCAAAATGACAAAAGAACAGGATAAAAAACTGCACAGATACAATTTCAACTGCCTGAAACACACACACAGTCTGGAATGGCATACACAAAAAATGATAAAAAAATAGTATAACTCTTGGCATTTACAGAAAATATTCACTTTTTTAGTTCTTATGGAGATTAACAGGTCCACGGTAAGTTATCATTTGTAATGTTTCCAAGTCCCAGATTGGTTCAGTGGGGCATTAGGCAGCCAGGAGTGGATTTCTCAGGGCTACATATGTGGCTTCTGGGGCAAGTCAAATTCTCTAGTGGTACTGAAGAAATCTAGGATTTTCCAAAAATTTCTCAGTATATCTTCATTTAAGATGAAAGGTCAATCACAATGAGGTACTATTGAGATACAAAGGTGACTACAAAGCTTTTTTGAAAAGTCCTGACATTTTATTTTTATAATGAAGTGCTTTATACCTGAAATACTTCACAACTAAGCACACCAAAAGACAGAAGAAAGTTTCTCTAAGGAGATGACATGAAAATATAGCTGCTTCCATTTGCAACAAATTTTCAAGTAATTCACTCCTGAATCAAAAGCAGTTTGAGCCGTTTGTCTTACACATCCTCATGCCCAATTTACAGATGAGGAAGGTGGAGTTCCAGGGTTTAAATAAAGTGCCCAAGCTCTTTATAGCCAGAAAGCAGCTAAGCCGAAACTGAGCCCTGCTTTGACTGGGTGTCATGACAGCACCCTTTCCGCCCCATCATTTGACATCGCAGGGACCAAGGATTGTGGGGGCAGCTCCTGATCCCCTATCTGCTCCTTCCAGAAGAGTTCAGTAGAGGCTGGAAGGTCCCCTATCATTCTGCAGATCAGGCTGGGGAGCACTGACTGCCTGGGGAATGAAGTCTGGGGAAAGACCGTGTCCACATTTCTTTGGCAGGAGGGAAATGTCTTTTCAAAAACAGCAGAGGGTGGAACTCCCACATTATCTTGGCCTGACGTGGAACAAGAAATCCACATTCTGCCCTGGGTCCCTCCGAGTGATAAGAATGACGGTGATAAGAATGATGACCAGCGAGGTGTGGGACTATGAACCAGCCTGGACCCTCCCCGTGCAGCCTTCCTCTATCCTGGACTTCCTCCCATAAATGTTAAGAAGAGACGTTTTCAGAAGGAGGCCGAGCACCGCAGAGGGAGGGGAACTGCCGGGCCTGGAGGCTCCGGTTGGGATGCTTTCCCCGAGCACGCTTAGGATGGCCGGTCTGGCTTTAGATTGGAAGGGGCTCTGAGCTTGGAATCAAACACACCTGGGACTGAATTCAGGCTCTGTTGCTTTGGGTGCTGGTCCCCGCTTCATTTTACTTCTCTGTCCAGAGCGGATATGATGATCTCCATTGCACAATGCAAGCTCTCTGAGGAAAGGCCCCTTCTTCATCTGCATGTACCCAGGGACTTTTACAGTGCTGGCACACGACAGGCCCTTAAAAAGTGTTTATTAATGTGAGTTGTATGAATTCTAGCACTGGGCTAGGAGATGTTAAACTAAGAACTAGGAAGGTCTTAGAAATCATTTGGTTCGGCTTCCTCCAAATGAGTTTTTGAGGCTCAGAAAGGTTAAATGAACTGCTTGAGGTCACAAAGTGGATTTGGTGGAATCAACAGGGTGGAAACGCCGGCTTCTAGAGCAGAGGCCTTCCCAGCTGGGACCAGCTTTCTTAGCTCCGAGCCAGCTGCTTCCCCTCTGCTTGGTAGTTACCAAGTTCCTTTTGGAACTCAGTCAGTCTATAACTTTAGGTGAAGGCCTCTGCCCAAAGCAGGTGAAGCAGAACTTTCTCTCCTGCTGTGGGAGTTGAGTATGCCCCCTGTGGCTGTCTGCCTGGCTCTGTCTTCCTAAGGTTTTCTTGGAGACTAAATGTCATGGAAAACAAAACGGCCTCCTCCTCTTCACCTGCCACATCCCTGAGCGTGGGGTTCAGGCTGGGAGAGAGATAACCTCTTAGTCTGGAAAAATATTTATCTTGCATAGCAACGGGCACTCGAGGATGTTACTCAGAGAGCATCTGGGGGTCTGGAGAGGTCATAGGGCTGGGTCCACGCCGTGGACAGAGTGCACACCCCGCCCCCACCCCAGGGGGCAGTTATGCCCATCACTTATTTCTCTGGATGCTCAGTTAAGCCCAAGGGTAAACTACAAAGAGCTAGGAAGGGCCCCTCGTTGGTCACATGTACACAGAGAGCCAGTGCCTGATGGCACCGCCTGGTGAATGCTGGCTGTTTATTAGCTGCCAGGAGGACCATCTTGCCAGATGGAAGGAGCCCTTTGACGCCCAGCTCTGTGGGTGATCCCACGCTGCCTCAGTGATCCAGGCTCTGTTGATAATCTGTCCCCATGTTTGTCTCCTAAGCAGACGTGACTCCTCTCCATCCTCTCTGAGTCAGCCCCTCAGAGATTCTCACAGCATCTCCTTGTAAGCAGAATCCATCAAGGCTCAAGACTCCGCAGAAGGAGAGCTCTAGGGCTCAGAGGCCATTTTACAGTCAACCCCTGGGGTTGCCCTGCAGAAGCCTTAGCACAGAGTGGGACGAGCACTGGGCTCGGACTCGAACCCGAGGGTAGCCGTTTCTGCTCCGAGGCCCCTTTTCCCTGTGAAACGAGGGGGTTGAAAGAGAAGTATGTGTATCTAGTATCTAATAGGTATTATATCTCATGTGGACAGTCCATGCCTGTCTGCTGTGTGTGGAGGAAACAAGATGACCAACCAGTCCACACACACAGCCACCACGGAGGGCGGCCAGAGCAGGTGCCTGTCTCCCTGGGCGGGGCTCCCTCACCCTGGCCCTTGGGAACATCACCATGGGCTGTCCCTTCTTCATGGGATCACTGCCTCACATATTTATTTTTCCAAACCTCCTTGGTGTCGGCAGGTGAGAGTGACTCAGAGTTTCAGGGCTGCAGACAGCAGATGTCTTCCTTCAACAGGAAACCTGGAGGGGTGTTCTCTCTGACTCCGATTAAAGCTCCTGTTGCCTCAGGAGTTTTCACAGAGACGTACACACAGATGGCCCTGTTGTTGTGACATTAAGGCCTCCATGGCAGCACCCTTCCTGCAGGGCAGAGCCTCCTTCTCCTGTTGCCGTGGCTTCTCTGGGCGAGAGACGTGCCCCCGACTCCCAGGGGAAAAATCTTGCAAATTGATTTTTTAAAAAGAACTGTAGTTCAGGAGGTCATGTAGCAAATGCATTTGAAAAGAGCTAAATCATCATCTTCCCAATGTTGGCCTCTTTGTAACTTTCTTGAAGAAAGTCTGGCGGAAGTTCACCTTCCTTTGTGGAGGAGGACTGTGAAAATGGCATCAGGATGCCCTCAGGGTCTGTGGGACCCAGACTGTGTGAAACACCTACTTTCTCAGTTTTCATGACCCAGTCTATACTTCAATACTTGACCTCTTGAAGCAGTGTGCCTCTGCTGCCAGAGAGACCTGGGTTCAAATCCCAGCTCCATCACTTAGAGCTGTGGGTGCCTGAGGTAGGCAGTTAACATGCTTCAGTCTCAGTTCCCTCATCTGTAAAATGGGGAGAACAATATCTCATGCAGCTGGTGTGAGAATGAAATGAGACTGAAATGTACAAAGGCCTAGAACGACGCCTGGCCCACTGCAGGTGCTGGAGGTCTCACTGGACTGAGTGGGAACTTTCTCTCACCCCCATGGTGTTGCAAGGGCAGGTCAGGCTGTGCTCTGTCCTCTCAGCTGGGGAATCTCCTGGTCCTTCCTGACAGGAGGGAGCCCAGGGGAAGCTTTTTCCTTCCCACACCCTGGAGGGAGGGGTGAGGCAGAGGCTGAAAACCCAGGGGGAGAAGCAGACGCTTTGAGCAGATGTAAGACATGAGCCATTAAAATGATCAATTAGGTGACAGTGTTGAAACACTGACAACTAGACTATTCCACCCACGCCTGGCTCTCATTTATCTGCCTCAGCCTAGCAGCGTGCCTGACACCTACTAAACACTTAATAAACTTGTGAAAAATAAGTCAAGGGAAAGTATTCACAAAACAGCCTTCATTGAAGAAATCAGAACAGAATCAGGGGCACAGTAACACTACAACTAGGGAATCGCCATATCCGTGTATACGCACACATGGATACTGGACGGAACACAAAAAGAAACAGTGAGAGAAATGCAATTTCCTTATCGTTTAAAATTTTGAATAATGTTTTAAAGTTACTTTAGTAATAAAAGTTGTAAAAAGCAAGAAAGGATCTTTACTCATAAAGCAACAGAAACCCGGGCAGGCAGCGTGGTGTGGTGTGTGGAGTGTTGTGCGGAAGCAGGTTAGGACCCTCACCCCTGCCACTTTCAGCAGAGCTTCTTGGGCAAATTAATCTCTCTGGGCCTAAGTTTCCTCACCTGTAAAAAGAGGGTAATAACCGCTTTTGGTTATTTAACCAGACTTAACCCTGGTTAAGCCCTGGTGGTCTGCGGAAAGGCCCTGGCCATGACTACTTGTAGTTTCCCACCACCTTTTCTGGTGGGTTTGTTACAAGTTGGGGCCAATTCTAAACATCAGCACATCACTGCTGGGCGCTGGACCTTCAACAACAAAGGATCTAAGGCACCTGCTAGAAGCAACCAACACCCTCCAGGGGATGCAAGGGCCTCAGCATCCACCTCAAGCCACTCCATTTCTCACCTAGAGCCAGCTTTTAGGAGAGAGAGAGAGAGCAGGTCTCAATTAAATCCAGGTGGAACAGCAGGAGGTGATGGACGGGAATACTAATGAACACAAAGTTTGCTACAGTCATCCTTGCATGCATGGTTCCACATATATATTTTTGTGGCTGAGGAACAATTTCAGTAAAACCCAGGCAACTGGCTGGGGAAGGGAAGCACAGTGTGGGGTAGACTTTGAAGACTAGTCTTAACAAGCAACTATGAGGGTTGCATCACCACCCAGCCTCCCATCTCCCAGGCTGGTGGGGAGGCATATGGAGAAGAGCTGTAGAGGCGGGAGATACTCAGGACCCTTCTGGTCCAGGCCTCTTGTACCAGACGGGATGGAGTCTAGACGGGTGCAGGGACTCACCAGGCCATCGGGGTACTGGGACCAGGGTCCCTGTTCCCAGTCCAGGACTCTTCCCTCTCCCCTTGTCTTCCCTCATCTCTCTCCCACCCCCATGAGTTCCCAGCTCTGAAGCCAGGTCTGTCCCCTGCACTCTCATTTGATCGTATCTGTGGGTGAAGCCTGAATAAGCGTCACTTCTCACTAGGGGCTACAGCACTCTTTTTTACTTAGAAATGGGGACGTGTGGCATCCAGGGAGAAGGGAAGCCATGCAAAGAGTTGTAGCAGGTTTTCTTGAGAAAGAACACCGCAGAATGCAAACAGGTATAATCTTTTGGACAATATGAATCAAGAACCTGAAAAATGATCATTCCCTTTGCCTCCGTATTTCCATTTCTAGGAGTTTATCCCCGGGGAAACTGTCAGAAAGGGAAACAAAGACTGACCTGCAAGAATGGGTATCAGAGCACAATTATATTTGCAAGAAGACCAGAAAGAACCTAAGTGTCCAGTGGAGGTTTTCTTATGTGATATGTGAAACCCCAGGCAGCTATGAGAATGACACTGCAGAAGACTGGCTGGGCACCTGGGAGGAAACCCATGACATACATTACACTTAGAAAGGCAGGCTGCAGCACTGTATATGTGATATAAACCCAGTTTTCTTTTTATAAATGCTTCGACAGGGGTAAGGGGAAGGCTGGAAGGGAATATTCCAAATTGTAAACAACGCTTACTATTGGCTGTGTGACTGCTATTTTATTTTACTTTTAATACTTCTCTAAATTTTTCTCAACTTTTGGAAGATGAACATGCATTGGTTTTAAACTCAGAGATAAATGTGATTAAGAAGGAATTCTTGGTTATCTTTTCCCTGTTCTCTAACACAGAGACACAGAGCTGAGAACCACCGACACACACAAACCCCATGGCCCCAGGTGGTGGTACTCAGAGCAGATGAACTCTTGGCTAATGTTCGGGCCCCTCAGACCCTAAGCCACGTGTAAGCCTGCAGGTGGCTCTTAGTCACAGCTCAGGTCAGTTTCTTTCCCGGGGTTTGCAGGACACTCACCTGCCTGATTCAGATATTTCAGCGCTTAGCCCTGGTGCTTTGAGTTTTAATACTTTCACAGAGGCAGATTCTAGAATGCTGGAAAAAACACAGCCCAGCAGCCACTCACACCTCAATCGGCGGTCCTCTTCAATAAAGGATCAGAGAGAGGGCCTAAAGGTAAGGAAGCTGCCTGGGGCCACGGAACAAGGAAGCACAGAGAGCCCGTGCAGGGGTCACTGCGGCGGGAGGCAGGGAGTGAAGAGCTTCCTACCCCACCCCAGCTGCCACCCTCTGGCCCCAGAGCTCCTGGCCCAGGCAGCACATTACCTCGTTGTTGGTGCCGACGTCCAGCAGGACAGGGAGGCACTGCCGTGGGTTGACCCCTCCGCACGCCGTGTACAGGGCCAGCTTGCCCACGGGGATGCCCATGCCATAGCAGCCCAGGTCTCCCAGGCCCAGGATGCGCTCCCCATCAGTCACCACCACAGCCTGAAAAACAAAACAGGACGCCATCAATCAGGGACAGTGCCTCCTGTGACAAAGTGCTCGTTTGTACAGCACAACAGGCCTGACAACTGGACGCCTGCTGCCTCTGCTGAGCGATGAAACAGCTTGTCTGGGACAAGGCCAAAGGATTCACTCAACTGCAGGTGGCAGGTCCTTCCCCCTCCCCGCCTCCCCTTTCTGGCAGGGCTGGTGAGAAGCCCCACCGAGGTGAGATGATGGAAGACACCTGCCTGCGTTCTGGGTCGGGGTGGAGACTGCAGGAATAGCTGGAGGGAGCCCACATCTAGCCACTCTCCCTCAGAGGAACTACGCAGGCACTCTCAGCTTGAGATTGGAGGGGGGCAGGGGACAGGGAGGGAAGGACAGAATGAAAGGTGGTAATAAAATAAGTGTTCATGCTGCTACTATAGCCCCAGGCTTTGGAGACCAATGCCAGAGCTCTGCAGCCTGCTCCTGGGGTAAAATAGATCCAACCTGCAAAGGACAGAGCTCCTTGTGAAATCTAGTAGGGTCACTATTTCACATGAAGCCAGGAGGGCTCTCACACTGTACCGGCATGATCTTTGTGTTTTGGCAAATGATCACTGAGGGCATCCTAGGTGCTAGACGTAGTGCTAGTTCAAGGCTTACCTACTGTGAATTAAGAGATGCTGATGGTGATAGAAATAATCATAACAATGACTATGATGGCCATTCATTTATTCATTCATTTAATGTATCTTTAACAAGCAACTACTTTGCAAAAGACACTCTGCCAAATCCTGGGGGGGCGCTTCCATTTGCTTATCTGTAAGAAGAATGCCTGGACCTAGCCCTTTAAGGGCCTAATGGACAAAAAGAGATGGAACGTGCATATTTATAACTACTCTGGGAGGAAAGCGTGAGGGCAGCAGAGCAGGGCCAGGGCCGCAGAGACTGAGAAAGGGAGAGAGAGGAACTTCCCGGAGGGCAACCCTTCTTGGATGAGGGGACACCCGTGCCAGACCTTGGGCAGGTGGAGATTATCCATTAGCAGGGTGGTTGAGGAAAAAGGTATTTGATACAAAAGGAAATTAAGGTCCAGGGTAGAAGTGGGGGGATGTAGGCTGTGTGTGTGGGTGCAGGCCCTAGGCAGGAGTCAGATGTGAGGGGCCCGGAATGTCAGGCCAAGGAGAAGTGAGGTCATTTATAGGCCACCCAACCTGCTCCCCATCACTGGTTCCCTCCATGTCCACGAGTGGAGTTTATGGGGCCACCCAGCCCTCCACTGGATCCAGCTTTGGGTTAGGACATAGGACCAGCCCTGAGCTGTGGATGGCCTAGTTGGCCCCAAGCGTGGTGCCCATGGGCATCCCAGGGGTCAGTTTAGACCATGCAGGTACAATGCTGGGCACTGGGAATAAAGAGATGAAGACCCTCTCCAGCCGGGGAAGAGTTTATGACCCACCACCCACAGGCTCCGTGGAATCTTCTCTCTCCCTCCAAGGGTGAGGGCACATGGAGCTGTGCTGCCTTTTGGTAGAAATACGTGCAGAGCTTCTTCTAACACCCCTCCACTCTGGAAAGAGGGCTCTGGAGAGTGCCCCAGACCCATGAACACCATGACGCCCCCCTAGGGCGGTCTGCTGCCTCTCTGGAGAGCGCTGGCATCTCACCCGATCCTCCCCGACCCTGGCCGGGAGGCAGGTCTGAGACAGGTGAGCAAACTGAAGCTCCTAGACCTTCACATTCCATACATATTTATTAAGTATCAGCCACCTCCAGGCCCTGGACTGGATGTTTCTACATCAGTTATTTATCTTAGAAGTATCAGATGACTTACCAAGGGCACCTTGCTGGTGTAAGCGGCAAGTCGGGATTCTAATCAGGCTTTGGGTTCCTGGTTCGGGGCTTCTTCTACTTTCCCCATTCGGCTGGGAAACAGCACCTGTGCTCTTGACAAAGTCCCGCCCTGCCTCGGTGCCCCCTTCTCCACAGCCGGCCTCTGGCCTCCTCCCAGCAGCTCTCCCCGGTGGAGCCTGTGCCTTCATGCTGCCCCTGGGTGCCCAACCTCTGGGCACTTCTCTACCATGTCTCCTCATCAGAGCTTCCTTATGCTGGTTCCCATTCTCTCAGAATTTCTCTCTGCTGAGGGGCAGTGAGTGACACGGAGTTAAACAGAGGAAATCAGTTACTACTCCAGGGTGTTATCCTTGCAGCTCTGGGGCCTTTCAAGATGGTAACGGGGCTCTGCAGTGCCCCCCTCCCAGCCTGGAAACGTCCAGGGGCACTCCACTGCATGCCCGTCCCCTCTGCAGGACGGTCTCACGTCCTCTGTCGTCCACTCAGTCCGACTATGCTGCCAGGCTACTGTAACAGCTTCACAACCAGGCTCAAAGGCCTTTAGTGACTTCTAACTGTCCATAAAATAGAGTCCCAAATGCTTAACTCTTTAATGACATGAACCCAACATACCTTATGAAACTTATCTCCAGGTACTCATCTAAAACATGGTCTGGCCAAACCGGCCTCCTCTTGCCAGACACACTCTAAATTCACCTATAATCTCACCCCTCTCAGTCTCTATCTTACTTTCTCTTTCTGCTCTTTCCCCAGCAGTGCACATCCTGTCCCGTGCAACCTCATGCGATTTCTCCTCGCACTTGCTGTGTCTGCCACACATCTGGCCTGCTCACCCTTCCTGTCTGCCAGCCTTCTGCAAACATTTATTAAGTACCTACTGCTTGCCAAGCCCTATGTAAGGTGCTATTTAAAAATTTGATGGTGAGAGCATTCGGGTTCCTATTTAACATTTTTTAAAATCCACATTTTATCCCACCACACAGCCTCAAGGTTAATAGCAGGGGTTTGAGGTCTGACAACCAGTGTTTGAATCTAGGATCCTTGCTAACACACCACATGTAATCTTGGATCAACAGAAAACTTGTCTGAGTTTTGATATTCCATAAAATGGGAACAATAATAATATCCAACTCACCAGGTTGCTGTAAAAATAAAATGAAATAATAAATGTCTCATCTTAACCAGTAAGTGATTGGCAAACGGTTCCTGCTCTTATGATTATATTGATGATTATTATTTGGGGCAAAGATTGCATATCAGAATTTCTAATTGTTTCAACTCGCTCTGGTCCAGTATCACCACAGAAAGGCCACGCCACAGTTATCTGCTAAATGAGGAAATGAAAAGGAAACCAACGGGAAACTCTGGCAGCTTTTAAGACAGTCTGGCCATGAGAAATCCAACAGCATTCTGACGCTGACATAGTCATCCATTCCAACGGCAAACCCTGCCATCGCTAAGCAGACACTTACTACTAACTGTCTGCCCGGCATTGCCACATGGATGGCCAACAGTCCTCCCGAAGTCCCCAAGTCCTTAACCAAATGAATCTGCTTTTCCCTTTTTCTTCTTGTAAACTTTTTAACCTCTGCTGTCCTCCCTCCCTCTGTTACCTCCTTTCTCCTGGACTCAAAACTGTCCAGTCTGCTTTGACATCTTTCTGTCATCAGCCAGTGACAGCCAGTTGGTCTCCAAGTTCTGCTGATGTGACCTGCTTTCCCGTCTGTTTGATGATCTTTGTGGCCATTGCTACCACCTTAAGAGCAGCCCATCCACCTCTCACTTGACCGCTTTAGTGTTCTCCCAACTGGTCTTTCTACTCTTGGATTCTCCCTATTGCATTTCGTTTTTCCAAAGCACACCCAGGTTTGTCATTTTCTTGCTCCCAAACCTCCAATGGCTCCTGATGCCTATAAAGCAAAGTTCAGACATCTGCAAACTGATGTTTAAAGTCTTTCATGCTCTACTCCCAATCTGCTCTTTGAGAGTCCCCTTTATCCACTTCACGCTCCATCCAAACAGAAATACTGCTAGTCTTGTATAAGGTTTGTACTTTCTTGACTACCTGCCATTTTACACCTCAATCCCTGTATCTCCTCGATCCAAATCCTACCATCCTTGCATGTTTCGAGAAACAGTTCAAAAGGCATTTCCCTCCATGAAGCTTCCCTTCTGGAAGTTATCACTCCCTCCTCTGAATTCCTATAGCAATTCCACCCTCCTCCCCCAGCACCTATCCCTCTCTTCCTTGTATTATAGTTCTATCTATTTTCTCATTTTTCATAGTAGCTCTAAGCTCTTTAGGGGCAAGTAAAGAGTCTTGTCCTCTTTGATTCTTCAGCACTTAGCTTGGGCCTGTGATGGGATATGGATTCAATAAATGCTGGACAATGTGATAGGTCCAAAACGGAGAGCAAATGACCTTCTCCGTGGGACTGAACTGAGACCTGGCATAGATGAACAAGTTCACAGAGAAGATGTTGCATCCTAACTTTCATGACCTCAATGGAGCCGAGTGAGGCTGGGGCCACTCAAGCAAAAGGGGTCAAAAGGCTGAGGGCAAACTTGAGTGGCATCCTAGGGCTGCAGTGCCCAGTCACAGCTGCCAGTGACCAACAGGATCCCAGTTTCCTTGTCTGGATGGCTTTTACAACTCAGCACTCCTCTGTATTTCAGATGACTAGGGGGAGAGTCAGATGACCAGGGGATGGTCTGCCTAGCTTCTGACTTCCTACCCACCTCCCTTAGCCAAGGTGGACCCAGTGGGGCTGACCCAAGGCTGATCTGAGCATCACGCCTCCTTGCTTGCTGTGGCTCTGGTTCCCTTGGATTTGGAGCTCTGGGCGTGAGCTGCCCACAGCACTGTGTGTAGGTGCTTTCCCTCCTCCTCCTTTCCGCTCATCCTTCCCTTTTTCCTCCTCCTCCTCTTCCTTTCTCTCTCTCCACAACATAATAATGCATAGTCCGTAGTTTCACCCCTCATGAGCAAAGAACCTACCCTCTCAGCTTCTTTGTCCAGAAAATGGGGATAAGGCCCCCTGACTCTTACAGTGTCGTTAGTAGGAATCAGTGAGTTTATGTGTGTAAAGTATGTAGCACAATGCCGGCGAGGTGGATTGGTGATGTGCTACCAGATCCCTGTTTTAGGAACAAAGGAGTTA